GGGAAAGAGATGAAGGAGAAGAAACATCTGTACCCAAACTAGCAAAACTGGAGGAAAGGTCGTCGCCTGTTTCCAAGTGCACTGAACCCACAGCTTCTTCAGTGTGGAACAGGGAAGCAGAACTGCATCAAAAGGAAAATAACATCCTGGACCCAAACCCAAATTTTGCATTAGAAGAGACAGGTATAAAGCTTACAAGGGAAAGTGGCAAACTAGCAAGTGATAAAACAGACACTAAAATTACTTCTAGTGAAAAGCGTGCACCAAAGAAGAGAAAGGAGTTAGATGATTTGTCTGAAGATACAGAAGCCCTAGAAATTGTGTTTGGAAGCAGAGACCTAGATTGGGAAGATCAAGTAGCAGATCGTGACCAGGAAGCTCAAGGCAATATACCAAAAAAAAGATGTTTGGAAGCCAAAGGAAGCCCGATTCAAGAAGTAAATGTAAAGCAGAGAGAGGATAATAAAATATTGGTAAGTTATATTCTTCTCATGTGCCTAATCTTGAAATTTACAGCTGTGTTAGAAGGATGCAGATACCTTCTTTAAGGATGAGGCTGCCTGCATACAGAAAATGGCTTTGTAAAGTTTGTTTGCTTAAACCTCTCAAATACCTGAAACTAAAAATTGACGTGATATATCTATTACACATGAGCATTGCAGTGTTACACCTATCAATGTTTTTTCATTCTTCAGGACATTGTTTCTTTGTCAATCAAAAGCTGCCTGTATTCTGAAAGTTTTCCTGTCTTTTTGCTTGAAGTACAGTAGGTAGAACAGCAGAATATATCCTTGATCCACGAAAAATTTACCATATTGTATGATGTTGTGTTAATGATAATGTTGATATTTATACTAAAATAATAATAAATTATATTATCTTTATGTAATGGATTTTCTGAAGAAACCTTTAGCTGACCTCTTCTGTTGAATACAACAGGAGCATCCAATGTATTTCAAGTCAGAATCTGTAGATGTTATATGAAAGATTATTAAAATTCCTGTATGAGGCAATTCAAATCACTAATGTCCTCTTAAAAAAAAAAAAAAAGAAAAAAAACCCCACCAGAAAATAACCCCACAGCTTATGATTAGTTTTCTTGATTATTTCTTGGTTTTTGTTTTTGAGAATAAGGCAATTTTCTAAGAGAAATTATGAAAACAATGGATTTTGAGCTAACAGTAGCCACTTCATTGAAAAAAACAAACAAACAAAAGCAGCTTTGTAGAGGAAAACAATGTTGAGAGCTCTAGCAAAGTAGACTATTAACAATACAGAGGGGAGTAAGAGGGAAGGAACAAGTTTAATTTTTGTTGATTTTAAAAAAAAAGCTTAAAGCTTACTGTTTAGTTCTTATACAGTGTGGGCAGTGTTTGAATGTTGTCATAATAAAGTTTGAATGCATGATTGAGTAACTGGAATTTGCAAGGTACCTTGCATCAGATGAGAATTAGTCATTGTCTGTGCATCCTTAGCTCAGACCAGCTTAACACTCTTCACTTGATACTTTACTGGAGCTTGTTTCTGGCAAAGTGCAAATTTTAAACTTTGCTATTTTTTTGTGTGTGTTAGTAACAGGCAAGTTTGAAAAGACAAGTAAGTCTTACAGTTTTAGAGACTCTTCGTTTCTTGTTCTTTATACTATCAGAGGGGAGGTACTTTCTATCAGGTCTAACCCTACTGAGGGACTAAAATGGCTGCTTGGAATATCTTTCAAGTTTTGTTACGGCCTGGGAAGTTTTGCTAATCTAAGTTCTTGTTAGGATCATGAAGGAAAGCAAATTCTTATGTAAAACTAAACTATTATTTTATCAGATGAGCACTTAGAAGACTTTCTGTCAGCAAACATCTTTAATAGTTTGATTACTAATGACCTATCTTATTCACGTAAGTTATATTTCCAGTGGAATAGGAAGGAGATTTCATTATAAAGCTCCACAGGCATATTTATGTTACCTATTGTCTTTTAAGTACAGATGCACTTTGTGTATCTGGCAAGACAGAGAGTGTAATTGATTCAAAATCCATGGGGTGCATAAAGCTGTTCTGATTTTTTTAACCACTGAAAATAATTTATGAAAGGCAAATCTGGTTTTAAAGTATGGGAGGAAAGCAACCCGCAGAATACTTTCCTATCCTAGTAATAGAATGTCCGTTCTGCACACATGTACACTTAACATATTAAATTGAAAATGCTACTTTTTATATTTAAAAGCTTTTACAGTATTTTCCAGAACCTGTCAGGACTTTGAGGATTGTGCATATGGACAAAACTTGCTACTGTTATTAAAAAAAAAAAAAAAAAAGTGAGAAAATAATGGGAAAAACCCAACAATTGTTATAATATACATAAAATAATACACATTTAAAAGTACAGTGCAGTTTCTTTTCTGTCTAAATATTTATATTGATTTGAAAATGCTTATTTCCCTGTAGAAAGCAGAAAACAATTTTATGTAATTAAATTTGCAGCTAATTTCAGTGTTACATTTTAAATAATTTTTAATCAAATAGAAAGAAGAGAAACTTGGACCAGTTCTAACTTCAGAAATGGAAAGTGAGATCAAGCCAGAGTCACCAATCTTGGTAAGAAACCAGCTAACTGTAAGTTTGAACAGCAAACTTTGAAATAGGATCCTTAAATACTGTGTTCTTAAAAGCAAAATTTTGATGCATTTTCTTGATGCTTCTCAGAGTAAAGGAGGTTCTGAAGATTGTACTCCTTAATCAGGTGTAAATTTGAATAGTGCAGTCCAACTTACTGACTGTGAAAAGACAGAGGGAACGGCAGTTCATCTCCATGATTTTATAATGGCATTTGGATGCATACTTAAGATACTTAAATACAGAAACCTAACGTAATTGTATTAACCCTTCAATGTGGTTCGTACTTGTACTGATGGTTTTGTTAGGTTGCTGCTTAAAGACCAGACAAGAACGTAATCTTGTCTGCTCCAAGGAGATCACAGCTAGAATGGAAGAGACAGACCATTGAGAAAATAGATGTAGCATACACTGATTATCAGTAAATAGCGTGCTAACTTTGTTATAGGTGAGATGAATGAAGGAGGGAGGGGAGAATTGCTGGGAATGGCTGTGAGGCAGAGGAAAAGGAGACTAGGCTAAATGAAACTGAAATGGAAAGATTCTGAAGAGATAAAGGAGAGTGTGTAGCCAGTCAACAGGGGCAGGATAAAACCTTTTCACATATGTACAGAAAGCAGTCCAAGAAGAGGGCGTGCTGTGCAGATATACCAAAGTGCAGGGTCAGCTGAGATGGAGGGACTTTTAGTTTATACTTTGCTATAAAACAACTGTACTGCATCTGGGCTTGAACTGTCCCTGAAGACAGTTTAATGTTACTTGTGAACTTGTCCTGTATCCAGACTTCCTTTTTAATCCACATACGTCTATCCACAAGCAGAAAAGTGTGCGTGCAAACTTGCTGACATATAATGAGTATTTTCACATACAGAAAATGTTGCTTTATTGATCAGGTCCAGCTTACAGCCCTAAAGTTGGCCTAAACGGTAAATCTGTAGGCTAGAACTGAGCTGAAGATGATCAACTTCGTCTTCTCTTGGAGTTAGCTACAGTTTCCATTAGAGTAAGCATACTTGATTAAATTAATTCAGGTAAGAGACAAGGTGGAGGAGAGGAGAAAAGTAATTCTTAGATATTAGCTAAATTGAAAAAAAAAGAAGTTTTTTTACTTGAAGTTTTATCTTGAAGTAAAATCCTAGTGAAATGAGGTACCTTGGCTTCATTGTTATTACTGCAGTAATACCGCAGTCTTCTATTCTATTACTGCAGATCCTGTCTTTTCAACAGATGTAAATATGAGAGAAATAAATTTACTCTACTGGTAGTATGTAAGGAGGCCGAGAAGTACATCCATGTTCTTGGCTTCTAGTGCTGCTGCTGCTTCCCCTTGCCCTTTTGTAATCCTAACTTTTGCCTCAGCTGTGCTAATGATAATTTCTTTCTCTTAAGTTTATACTGTTAAATATGCTGTATGTCTGTTTATACACTTGAAGCGCTGCTTCCTTTTTCTTCCCACATAAGAACCACAACAAACTTCAAGATGACTCCAACAATCTTCCTAGCAGACTTCTCTTGACCGAGTTTAGATCATTGGTTGTCAGCCATCCAAGACAGAACAGTCAGCTTAGTGGAAATACCAGCTCCGGGGGAAAGAAAAATTTCAAAATGTTCAAAAAGGTTGGTGTGTATTTGAAATGGTCACAAGATGGCACTGTTTAAAAATACTAAAAAATATTGCCTTAAGATTCTAGAAGTATGTTATGAAAGATTTTTTTTTAAGTTGATAGTAACTACAGAAGGAAACAATTTAAATACTATATTATACTGCTAACATATATTTTGCTAATTGGCTAAGGAAGTACCAGGCTGACAAAGGCTTACCTCATGCTAGATTATTTAGATACTTATACTCTCTGTTCCACGCTGTGACTTGGAATAAGTCATTAAGTGACGCTTACCTTAACTTCTGGTTGTACATTCAAAAGCTAGCAATTTGACTTCTCTGAAGACCTACATATAAAGCGTATACTGATTCAGAATCTTGCATTTTAACTAAGAAATCTTGAGTTTCTAAATAGAACCACATCTAATATCTTACAAAAGTAGGACGATTGCTTGCTTGGGTTCTTAATGTTCAACTCATCCCTTTTTTAAAAAAAAAAACCCATAAGATTACTAGAAATGCATTTCAGTAAAATACTATGTAGAAAATGTGAGTCATATAGTGCAACTTTCAACTTTCTGGGAGTATGCTCTCATTTTTGCATAACATTTTAGATTTCTGGTAGTATTTTTTTTTCCACTGCTTTGTGATAGATTCTTATGCATTCTGATAAAATAGAATCTGTCAGTAAAAATCAGTTTATAATGTTTTCATACTCCATTTAATGTACTGTCAGATTTATTTAGCATATATAACTTGTCGGCTATTTTTTTTGGTTTCCTTTGGTGAAAGGAGGGAGTTAATAGCTTTCTGTAAATGCCTTTTTTCACTTCAGTCTCTTTAAAATGTGATCTCTGATAAAAGCTATTCAAAGAAAGACTGACTGACTTCTGTGATATCTGAACAGACTTTCTATATAACAAATAGAATTTGTTAAACCAGACCTTTTACTTACAGTGTTCTTGCCTTGCATTGTAATTCTAAGAATTTATTGTCCAACAGGTAGCTTATCCAGGGGCAGGACAAATTCCATACATTATTGGAGGATCAGATTTGATTGCTCACCATGCTAAAAAGAATTCAGAGCTAGAAGACTGGTTAAGGCAAGAAATGGAGGTAAGGAATTCTTTCTCAAAGATGAGCAAAGAAAAATGTGACTCATGTAAGTGGTCATACCGACCTGTGGTCATTTCTGAAATACTTCAGAATTTTATTTTTTAAATAAAATGTCAGCCAGTTAGCTGTCCACACATGTTCGTAGGAACATACACATTACTGGAATTGAGAGGTCAGTGCTAAGACTAATTTTTTTTTCTGTCTATTTGAATTAATTTTACATGCAACATTCACATAATCGGAAAAACTGTTTTAAACAAAATCAATAACCTAAAAGAGAATTGTCTGTTTTTTTTTAATATGTCAAATAAGCATTGTGGACACTTGTGGCTTCTAAAAATGTGCCAGAGAACTAGGAAGAACTTCTATATAGTAATCTGTGTTCAAATTGTTACACAGTACAATTGATAGTCTACTCTTGAATAAAACAGAAAATACTTGAGTAAAATTCTGCTTCAGTAGATTGAAGAAATACAGTAAGAATAAATTCAATATTTTTTTGTTATAAAAATCTTCACCTTTGTATGTAAAAGTTCTAAATAATATTATATTTTATCATAGCTGTTCTCAAGCACTTTAACTTTCCATTAGTTTCTTTAAAAATACTTGCTGATGAGCTATATTCTGTTTCCACAGCCTGATCAAGATCCTGTTACATCAACGTTTTTTTATTATATCTTTTTTTTTTATTGTCCCTGGGTATAAGTAATGCAAATTAAAATTCCCCTTACACACCAATCATCAGATAAAGGTGTCTCTATTTTTATAATGATGCTTAAAAACCAAAAAAATGTATTTCTGAACAAAATTGATACCTTGCACAAACTAATCCATTCCATTAGTTGGTAGCAGTAGTCAAACTTGGGTAGTGTGATATATTCTGCACTGGAGTACTTGGAGAAAATTTTTTTCTTCAGGAAAAACTGTCTTAGTGCAGGGATATATTGTTCTTCTGTATTGCTCATTAGCTTCACCTTTAACATCAAATATTGAATAAACGTAATTTCTCAGGAACAGAACCGACATGCAAGAGAAGAATCACTTGCTGATGATCTCTTTAGGTAAGAATGTTATGTTTGTACTTAAAAAAATGTGTGTAATTTGCATCACATCTTTTTTTTGGAAAAATTCCAATTTTTTAAAAGACTTCCTTGGCTTTCTTTTGAAAATTCCATGTATGGAATATACCCCAAGTAACTCATCAACTTGACACAAGTGCCCTAGCACTTGTTTGTCCCTGTGCAGAGTCACTTGAGGGAGCTAAAGCAACAGAATACTAATTCTGTGAAAAAGTGGTTGGCAGGGCTTCTTTTTTTTTTTTTAAAAACTTTGAAGTAATAATTACCAGAACTTAAAGCAAAAATTAAAAAAAAACAACTAAGGAAATCTTTCAGTGTGGCCTCTCTTTGTCCCTTATCTTTGAGACCTTAAGCTGCTTTCAAATCCACTCACAATGAAAGACCTCCTACCTTTTTTTACTTGTTAGAATCTCCCTGAATGCCTTACCATCTTTCCTGTTTTCAGGCTGAGAGAAGGCATTTTTACACCGATCCATCTATGCTCCTGACAGTGTAGTACAATCATTAATCCTGTCTTAATCAGTGCTTATGTCACAGGAGTTTGAGAGGTTTCTTTGGTAGGTCCAGGTTCACTTTGGCTGTTTGCCATTATTTTTCCCTCTAAAATACAGTCTGTTTCAGGAGTTTTCCTCAAGAAACTTCACTTCCATTGTCTACCACCTTCCATAATCTCTCTTTTGAAAGAGAGAATCATCCTATTCAGTTGATTTCTTGTCCAGTTACTTTCAACTGTAATCCTAATTTAATGATTTATAACCATGTTCTAATTAGAAAAATTTAAGCCAAATTTGCCATTTTATCCAGTTTTTACATCTGCAACAGAGCCTTTAAATATGTGTGTCAATTATTAAGACATAAAAACATGGTGCGGCTTGATTGCTGGGCTGGAATATTAACTGGTCCCAAATAGTAATTAATTTTAGCCTTTCCAAATACAGCAGTGGAAACTTGGATAATTAAGATGCATTCATGCTTAGAATTCTAATTTTTTTACCTCAACTCGGGATAGTTGTACCTACAGAAGTTTCCACAGTCAAAAATACTAAAACAGGGCAATTGAATGTTCAGCAGTTTGTAACCTACTTCTAATTTTGTCCTTAATCCTGAGTAAAACTACTTGGCATAACACTAACATGAACAGCTGCAATTTCCCATGAAAATTGCATTTGAAGATGCCATTAGAAAAAGTCATGCAGTACTCCAAGGTTTACTTGAGCTAGAGCAAAAAGCTGTACCCTCAACTGCTGCTGCATACATACTGAGAGAGGAGGAGGAGGGGAAGGCATATCATACTACCTGCTAAGACTACAGATAAATGGATTATGTTCAGTAATAGTCCTTTGTATCCTTCACTCCTGGTTCCCTGCAAGGTCTTTTGTTTCTTTGTGCATTTACTCAGTAGTGGAATCTCTTGTAGTCCTTTTTCCATTTCAGGTCACAGACACTGTACGGTTTTCTTTCTCTGATAATGTTGTTTGATTTTTTTCTGTCTGGAAAACATCATCCCAGCTTCACTTAACATGGGAAATGGCTGGAGGTGATGTGCAGGACATAACATAAAAAGATGATTGTGACTGTCAGTGTCAGCATCTCCATAGATAGTCACAGGAAGGGTTGAAGCTGTTGGTGTCCTGATGGCAGGTTTTCATCATGTATCATCCCCCTCTATCTGCTTATCTTTCCCCCTTCTCCCTCCCCTCCCCACCCCGTAAAATAGGATTTGATGTCCAAGACACGTTAGAACTGATGTGTTACAATCTATAGCAACAAATTCAAAGAAATGTTTTGAGATTTGATATAAGGATCTCACTTTGTTTAGCAAAGATTTAATTATTTTCTTAGTTTTTATGTGAAGAAACAAGAAACCAGTGTTTGACTTCTCACCTGCCATGCGTTTGACTAACACTACAAATTGTGCATTTAGGTAGAAAAATATTTATGATGAAGGGTGTTTTTGTCCAAATCACTATCAAAGAAAAACTACTGCATATGAACATGTGTAAGAGCCATTCAGAAAATCTTACTGCATTAACAGCTTGCACTGTTAATTAACAGTTAATAATAGAGCGTTTCTTTCAAAGGGTACACATTTCATTTTTGCCCGAAGTCGGAGTTGTATAGCAACAGCAGCGACTTCTAATACCTTTCTAGTTATGTGGTGATGTAATTTGGCTCACAAGTTGTCACATTTTCCTGTCTAAGCAAAAAAAGTTTTGATGAATGAGAACAAATTAGTGGAAGTAAAACTGCCTCATCGTTCAGTTGTGTCCATAATTTATTCATGCATGACTACAAAACACATCAGAATTTCAAGGAAGTGACACAGGATTTGGGGAGACGAAGCACAAAAGGAGAGAAAGAGAAGGCCAAGGGGATGGCAGTGTTAAGCAGAGGCAAACTATAACCATATTGCAGTAAATCAGGTAACTATTTAGTATATCTAGAAAGTAGATATAAATTACTGAAAAAATCAATCCGAACGTAAGGCAAGGAACTGCTTTATGTGGGAGTAGGAAGCAGCAGGCGGCTTTTGTCTGAATGAGTAAGTGGCCGTAAGTTGCACATCGCTGTGAATATACAGTACCTCTTTCTCCTCCTCTTTTTTTTTTGTGAGGAACTTGATGTTGGGATATTAAAGACTTGGAGAGCCTTGTTCATGCATCAGATTTAAAGATTTGAAGTAGCCAAGATGTCAGTGAAAAGTTTACTAAAGGTTATCTCTCGTCCATGCACAGGTTCTAGCTTATGTGTCCTTCAATCATAGATTGTAGCAACTGTAGTTGAGAGAAGTGCAGCCGGGGAAAGGACTGCACGCTGACCAATCCCTTGTTATGAATATATAATAAAGCTATTTCTATCACATGGTTAACTTTGAATATCATTGTTTTACTTATTTGTGACAAATTTTCTTTTTTGTTACAGATATGATCCTAATGTGAAAAGGAGAAGATAAGTTGTAACCTGAATTTACAGTGATTCTGTAGCAAAATATATTTTCTGTTCCTTAGGTTTGCTCATTAACAGTGTGTAATATATATCTATGTATGACCATTTGAGCTATCTATTATTGTAAGACTTTTTTTTAAGTCTTGCTTTTATTAAAGAAAAAGTTTCTTTCACTGCTTGGTACTTACAGATTGCATGTTTTCAAGACGTTAACATTATTTGCTTCAGAATAATGCTCAGCAAAATACCATAGATACTTAGGATTTCATTTTAGGCTGTTTATTTCTAATGTTTGCTTGTCAGAACTATTTTGGGGAAAAAAGGAAGTTATCAGGCTTTTTTTCTTTTCAGAAAGGCTTTTTTAATTAGATTTTTGTATATTGTCAATTTTGAATTGAGATAGAGGTTTTTGAAGACTTCATAAATAAGTTAGGCCAAACTTTAAATTTGTACTTAAGTAAATGTCGTGGTTTAGCCCCAGCCGGCAACTAAGCACCACGCAGCCGCTCGCTCACTCCCCCTCCTGCAGTGGGACGGGGAAGAGAATTGGGAAAAAAAAAACTCGTGGGTTGAGATAAACACGGTTTAATAGGACAGAAAGAAAGAAGGGAACAACAATGATAATACCAACACAGGAATGTACAAGAACAAGTGATGCCCAATACAGCAATTGCTCACCACCCCGTGATCGACAGCCTGTCCCCGAGCAGCGATTTCCGCCCCCCGGCCAACTCCAGTTTATGTACTGGGCATGACGTCGTATGGTAGGGAATATCCCTTTGGCCAGCCTGGGTCAGCTGTCCCGGCTGTGTCCCCTCCCAGCTCCCCGTGCACCCCCAGCCTGCTCGCTGGCAGGCCAGCACAAGAAGCTGGACTGTCCTTGACTGCTCAGCAACAACCCAAAACATCAGCACATTATCAACAGTTTCTCATCCCAAATCCAAAACACAGTCTCACACTAGCTTCTGTGAAGAAAACCAGCTCTATCCTGGCTGAAACCAGGACAGTAAACAAAAAGTATTTAATATTGATAAGGTCAAGCTTCTTCCTATTTTTTAAGTTGGTGACATCAAATTATTTGTAGCCCAGCCACCAATTTAGTGTGATGGCAGATTTGAAACAAATGTTTATTGTCTCAAATCACAAATAAATCACAAATTCAGTGACTTTTTAAATTTTTATTTGTTGGGGGAGGGGTGGGAGAGGCAAGTGCAGTTTCTTTCTCTGCGTATTTCCTTTCCTTTGCAAATAGGAGTGAGCTGTGTTTGAAAATGTCTGTTTAAGAACAAAAGATGTATACAGAAAGCCCAAAAGCAGTGTGATGAGAACCATCAGATTATGAGAGTACATGTACACTTTCCTGTAGTATTAAATGAGAAATAACTTTGTACATTCCTCAGAAGTGTAAATTCTGATACAAGGATGTCTCATATTCTGTAATTTGTTTTTGTTTGCAGTGAGACTCAAGTTAGAGGGGGAAAAGACCAAATTTGATAGTTCCAAGGAGTCATCGCAGGGGGGGTGGGAAACACCCCAAAAATAAGACTTAAAAATAAAAACTCATTGGGGGAGTGGGGGAGTAGTTTCCCTGGAAAATAAACAAAAATAAAAGCTTGAAAGCTCCAGATCAGAGAGTGGCAGAGATGCCAAATGAACCCCCTTGCTATTGGAAATAATGTCTGTTATGCATGCCTATACTTTTTTCACACACTGTGTAAAAAATTCAAAATAATACCATCATCTATATTGACAGCGAAAGCTATGAAACAGCTATCTGTTCTTGAGTTAGGAGAGCTCATCTTAACGATCTGAGAATTTGGAATTTGAAAGGATGCTCTGGAAGTACAATGAGAAAAGCCTTCCAGATTTTCTGTTCAGCTGTATGAAGCCATCACATACAGATGAAGATGGACAGTAGCTCCATTGCATCTTGTTTCAAGAGGCTAGATGGTAGGATTTCCTTTCTTATATGACGTAGTAATTTGATTGCTGTAATTTAGGTACTCCATAAGAAAGCTACTTGCCCTGTTTTCGAGCCACTCTGTCGTGTGCAAGATTTGAAGAACAGCATCCTGAGATCTGTGTATATATAGAGACAACGGATATGCTGAAGTCAGCATGATTGCATGGTCTCAGAAAATATCTGGTCTTCAAAACCGAGTCTTTCCTATGGTGTCTTTTGGCATCTTCTTGATCACTTGCTCAGGGTTGTCCAGAGTGATACACAAAGTGGAAGACCAGCATCTCTGAGTTCAGCAATAGCCATGAGAGTGTTTTGGTATTGTAACTTGCATCAGGGCACATTGATTCTTGTCCACCAAATACCTTTTAAAAAGACTGTTCTTCAGCAGTTGAAATATTTACTGGCAGAGATGTACCGACTGCTGTGACTCGGGTGAATTTTTCTACAGCCACAAGGAGAATCTCCAGGTTTTCCTGTTGAAGATGCACTGGTCCAACAGGACAGCTCTGTTGAAGATCACCTTTTTTTTGTTGTTGTTACCAAATTCAAGCAAATAGCTTGAATAGCAGAGTTTCAATGGACAAGATCCTTCAGAAAGGTTGTGGTTACAGTTGTAAAAAACACAACTTGTCATTTCACCATAGAAAGTCTCAAAAGATATAATGTACAGGGGCCCTTCTACAATACAGTAGACTGCTCAGACTGCAGTCAGCTAGGGTTCAAGCAACCCGGGTGGTGGCACATCTGAGACCACTCTTATAGTCACATTATATAACTTGGGACTCTTCAATTCTTCAGACAGTTCAATTTGGCAGCTTTGATCATACATTTTTTTAGTTATTTAGTGTCCTAGGACTGATGGAATTGTGTGACTGGGGGGGGTACCCACAGATAAACATTTAGAGATTTCTTTATAGATTTTGTTTGAGGTGTCTTCTCTGTAGCAACAATTCCAACATCATCTTGAGATTTCTTTGCAGTCTTTCACAGGCAGCTGCATGCTTTCAAAAGGGGAGGGCATTGTGGGGATTTCCACAGTGGTGCTGAGAAAAAAGGTTACGATCAGCACTTGGCTACAGATACATCCAGAGTATGTTTCTGTTTTGGATCCAACTTGAGGGTACCTAATAGGTGATAGTTTGGTTTCTAATTCAGTTGCATCTGCTGTCTGGCTGATGAGCAGCCTGTAGATTAGATTAATGAACCTGTGCCTTTTTTTATTTCAATATGAAGTTATGCTTGCATTAAAAGAGATGCTTAGACAGACATCTAAACATCTGCCCCCTTACCCATGGTTTGAATTGTAATTCCAAATTCATGTAACATCCTATTCATAATACTGCAACTTTTCTTCCATTTTAGCATGATTTTGTCATGATTTTCAGCTCCAGACATGGAAACATGGAAACTCCAGGAAACATGCTTATTGACTTACTGCTTTGGGCTTTCTGTTACTGAAGTTTCTGAGGTTGATGATGAAGGACATGATTACATGATCCAAGTCTTGTGAGCCTGAACAGCCAATAAATGACATCAGTATTTGCTTCACCCCGGAACTATGACGTTAACTTGACCTGATGTTTCCTTTATTTTAGAAAATACACTCTTGTGTGCTAACCCCAGTAGACAGCTAAGCCCCATGCAGCTGCTCACTTGCTCTCCCCCAGCTGGATAGAGGAGAGAGAATTGGAAGGGTAAAAGTGGGAAAACTTATGGTTTGAGATGTGATAGCTTTTGCTTTATCTGTAAAACTGTCTGTGAGCACAAGCAGTGGCAATTAACTTTGCGTCCTGCAGTCAGAACTTTTGCTGCATGTTCCATTTTCATTCTGTGGGGCTTGTGCCCTGTGGTTTCAACATCTAGTTCACCAGTCTTCTGAGAGGATTTGTGTGGTGTTGATTTTCTTTACAGGGTTAAAAAGAGTTCACTAACTCATACATGACATCTAAGGTTTCTCTCATTTGCCTCAAACCCCAGTCTGCAAGCACACCCACACCCATCAGACAAAAAGCTGATGAAAATAAATCTAAGCAGAATCTTATCTTCAGATCTTGTTACTTGCATTTTTCTGTGTGACACAAAGTTTGTTTGAGGGTTTGTTAGGATTGCTTTTTTAGAGCATGCATTATCTTTGTTCACGCTGCTCACAGGAAGGAGATGCACACAATACATAAACTAAATAACGCTTTTTATTAGCAAGGCTTTTAAAGTACAGTCTTGCATTCAGCAGTTTCACTGAACACAGTTTAAAGCAGATTGAATTACTTCATGCACCACTGAAATAGAAGATGGGTGCTACATCCCTGCAGGAACAACATGCTTGATTTTCAATTTAACTAACTCACACCAGTTTCACTTGACTTCCTACATCAGTTGGGAAAGCCACTGCCTTTTTTGGCAGGACTACCAAGATATTCTGACTGTTGAAGTTTATCTTCTATTTCTGTCTGTTCACATCTGCCCCTTTTTCTCCTACCCTTACTCTCCAGGAGGGAGAGTGTAGCAGGGTTGGCTTCTCCTGTGTCACTGCACAAGTTCCACTTCATAAGCCTACTTCATTACTTCCATTCCTGGTGCGTCCAAGTCTATTCCACATGTTTACCATCAAGCAGCTCGTAACTGATACACCAGCTGAAGTCTCTGCTATAGACCTATCTCCAACTCATTCCTATTACCAGTTTGTTTTGTACGGGTGTTTTCTCAGTCCTGATTCTTATCCTGCCTTTACTCCCCCCTCCCATGCAACTAGTCCTGCTCTTGCTCTGTTCCATTTCCTGAATCTATCCATGGCCACACTTGGCCACATCTGGTGTTTGATTCATGAATTAGCTGCTTCTGATTGTGTTCTGGTATCCCCTTAGACCTTAAGCCAAACATAGAAAAACCTGAAGTGTCTTCCTTACCGTTACTCCTCACTCTTCCTCTTACAATGTTTTGATAACAGCCATCACCACATTCCAGTGAGATAGTTACAAAGATGCTAGTTAGGGAGATCCGACTTTGTCTATCAATTTTTCCTGTCTATCAACTTTTCCTGCCTTTTC